GAGGAGGATAGGGATGGAGAGGAGGAGGGTGACGGGGAGGAGGAAGAGGGTGATGGAGAGGAGGAGGGTGATGGAGAGGAGGAGGAGGGTGATGGGGAGGAGGGTGATGGAGAGGAGGAGGGTGATGGAGAGGAGGAGGAGGGTGATGGGGAGGAGGGTGATGGAGAGGAGGAGGGTGGAGAGGAGGAGGAGGGTGATGGGGAGGAGGCGGGTGATGGAGGGGAGGAGGAGGGTGATGGAGAGGAGGAAGAGGGTGATGGAGAGGATGAGGAGCAGGATGGAGAGGAGGAGGGTGATGGAGAGGAGGTGGTGATGGAGAGGAGGTGGTGATGGAGAGGAGGTGGTGATGGAGAGGAGGAGCGTGATGGAGAGGAGGAGGATGGGGATGGAGAGGAGGAGGAGGGTGAGGAAGAGGAGGAGGGTGATGGAGAGGAGGAGGGTGACGGAGAGAAGGAGGGTGATGGGGAGGAGGGTGATGGAGAGGAGGAGGAGGGTGATGGAGAGGAGGAGGGTGATGGGGAGGAGGGTGATGGGGAGGAGGAGGAGGAGGGTGATGGGGAGGAGGAGGGTGAGAGAGAGGTGGAGGAGCGGCATGGAAGTCAGGGTAAAGAGGAGGAGAATGGGGGGCCACACCCCGTGTAACAGAAAACCCCGTGGAGCATTTCCTATTTGCTGTGTGGAACACCTAAACCCTGATGTTACGTTCAGTTCACAGGCATCCAGGTGCTGTCCGCACCCCACACTCCCCTGACCTCTCAAACACATTCTCTACTGCTAGTATAAAAAGTTCTCAGGTTCACAGCACCCTCATCTCCCCTCCCTCTGGAGGGCACGCCGGCCACACTTACCAAGGGGAACACTTTGCTCTTGTCATCGCCCTTTTTAAACAAAGCATCCTCTTCGGAGGTGCTGGCCACCAGGGACACGTCAGAGACCTCGCTTGGCTCTGAGATGTACGATATCTTCGCTTGCTGCCTCTGTTCTGGTCTCTCCTTGTCCTGGGGCATCCCAGGCTGCACCACGCGCTCCTCGGAGGACTGGATTTCCACAGAAGTGCTTTGATCCAAATCAAGACGTTCCAACTCGGAACTCCCCAATAAAACTTCTGAATCTGACACACGCTTTTTCTTAAAGAAAGACATGAACAGGAGACTGTGATTCCAGACATACTCCGTGCCGTTGTGGCCCCCCACTTCCCCCCCCCCCCCCCCGGTCTCTTCTTTATGACCCCTGATGAGCCTGCTAGCCTCTTTTGGAATCACTGCTGTCAGCTGTCATCAGGTGGATTTCTGACTCCCAGGCCCCCATGCATGCAGGGCAGAACTGCTCCCTGGGGCTGCGACCTTTTAAAACAGATTGCCAGGTCTTACCTACAAGGCACCATAGGTGGCTTTGAAACTGTCGAGGGTTTGGTTAGCACTTTACTGCTTTCCTCAGGCCAGCTTCTACTTCGGAATCCAGAAGTGTTTTTAGAAGAAAGCTTTGTACTTAAATAAAGTAAATCATGGGTGTGGGGGTTTAAGTTCAGCCTACACGTGGTATTTGTGGTGTCTAACAGGCTGCCTGGCCACAGCTAGTCATCCTTGGGCCAGAGCTGAGGTCTCCATCAGGGACAGGTCTTGCTATTCTCCACTACTGCGGTTGACTCCTATCAGTCAAAGGTCAGCTCCAATACACACCTCCTCCAAGAAGTTTTCCCTGACTTTCTACCTGGTCAGTAATCACCAATACAGGCTACACTTCGCATAAGTTTTATGTTTCGTGAGGAGTCATCCTCCCTACCCCACCCCCTACAGCTGAGAGATGGACCATGTCCTGTTACGTTTCTGCCCCCATGGCCAGCATTCAACTAAGGACTAAGAATGAAGATTCCGATTTACGAGGGAACTTACTGGAAGCTTTGCACCAGGAAACAGAAGTTGTTCCATGCTCTTCAAGGTCTGGGTGACTTCTTGGGCCACCGTGGCAAACTCTCCCTCTTCTCCCACAGCCTGTCCCGCTAGTTCCTCTGACATCCCTGCCGAAGTGTCCTCTGCTTCTGATCCCTGTTGGGCATCTTCTTCCTTTTGGTAATTCAGAGGGTAGTTGTCTTTGTCTTCTACTGTTGGGTAATTTGAATTTTCTTCTTCTCTACCTTCCTCCTCTTCTAGTCTTTGGGACTTTGGATTATATTCTTCTCCTTCTTCTTCCTCCTCCTCTTCTATTCTTAGATAATTTGGATTATATTCTTCTATTCCTCTATAACTTACATTATAGTCTTCTCCCATTCTTTGGTAACCCAAATTATAGTCTTCTTCCTCTTCTTCTATTCTTTGGGAATTTGAACTATATTCTCTTTCTCCTCTTCTGTCTCCTTCTATCCTTTTGTAATTTGGATTTTCTTCTTCTTCTCTCTCTTGGTAACTGGAATTTTCTTCTTCTTCCATTTCTGTTTCTTCATCTTCTTCTGTTTCTTCGGGTGGATTTTCCTCCACATCCGACATTCTTCCCTTTGGGGATTTCTCTAGAGAAATGGAAACAGTGCTCATCAGTAGGCCTCTCCGTTTCACACTTTCATTTCTTGGTGCACTAACTTATCCATGCAATGAGCAATCTCAGCTCTCGTTCCTGTCTAAGGAGAGAAAAAGAATGCTACATGTCCCAAACGGGAAAGCAGGTCCCAAATCTTACAAAGCAGCCATTCGTGGAGCCTCTCCTTCTTTCCAGGAGTAAGGTCAAGAGACTTCATTCCTTGGACCCAAATCCACAGGCCTCAAGGTGATTCTGACTCCTAGTGGTCCCCTTGGGGTGTCCAAGGCTGCCTCCTCTTCCTCCCTCTACTGCCTGGTCTAGTCAAGCCTCTGACCTGTCAGTTAGCAACCCAACACCTGCTACCCTTGGCCACGAGACTCCTCAGGAACTCTAAGTAGACACCTGGCCCCACGGGCAGTGGAAGACACAGCCAGGTGCTCACAGCACATCTAGCAGGAGAACCAACAGCGAGTGGCCGAAGCTGTGGCCATCGGAGCAGCCTGGTTCTGCCTCTCACTCACTCCCAGGCCTGGGCAGTCCTGTGAGCTCAGTCAAAATCAAGACCTCCCTGACCCCAGGGTGGAGCTGCACCAGGGGAGGGGGGCGGCCCAGAGGCTGTGCAAGGCTGCCCGGGTCCCGGTGCATCGGGAATGCGTGTCCAGGCGGTCAGTGCCCAGCACTGAGCCCTGCAGCGCCTGACACAAAGCCCCAGGGTGCCTGGGCCGAACGTCCAGGTGGTCAGCGCCCAGCACTGAGCCCTGCAGCGCCTGGGCCGAACGTCCAGGTGGTCAGCACCCAGCACTGAGCCCTGCAGCGCCTGGCACAAAGCCCCAGGGTGCCTGGGCCGAACGTCCAGGTGGTCAGCACCCAGCACTGAGCCCTGCAGCGCCTGGCACAAAGCCCCAGGGTGCCTGGGCCCAACGTCCAGGTGGTCAACGGTCTGGATGGCCAGTACCTGGGAACCCTGCAGCACCTGGGCCGCACGTCCAGGTGGTCAGTGCCCAGGAGCCTCGCAGCACCTGGGCCGTGTCCAGGTGGTCAGCGCCCTGCAAGGAGCCTCCCCCTCCACCCCTCCGTTCCCGGGCTGCCGCCGAGCAGACAGCGCAGCACGTGCGGACACAGCTCCAGCACCAGGCGCCTGGTCAGGACGCAGCACTCCCGGCACCGGGCTCAGAACCGGGCCGGGCGCTCCACGGTGACCACCGGACACTCACCCCGCCGACCCCCACGTCCAGGCGGCGCTGCGAGCAGGCAGTCCGGACCGCCCCTTCCCAACCGTCCACACCCGGCGGGCCGGGGCGCGAGGGCTGCGGCCGTGGGCAGTGCCGGGAGGCCCCCGTCCCCCGCTCCCCCGCCGGCCGGGACCCCCGAGGCCGCCGCCCTCACTCACACAGCGCCCGCCCACCGCCGCGTCCGGACCACTCCACGCCGGGACCGCCCGCAGCCGCCGCCGCCCGCTCCAGGCTCCCTAGTTACCGTTGCCACCCAAGCCCAGACTCCATGGCGACCGCCACCGCCGGACGCGCGCGACTAGCCGTAAAGTGAGACGGTTGGCTGGGGTCACGTGCCCGGAACGTGCCTGCGCGAGAGGCCCGCGCGCCCCCTACCGGCCGCCGGGAGACGCGTCGTGGGCGGGACCTGGGCCGGAAGCGCACTCCGTCCACGTGCCCCGTGCCCCGCCCCTCCATCCTGGTCCACTCCTGCCCTCTTGGTCCATCCTGGTCCCCACTGCCCTCCCCGGGCCGTCCCCTGAGAAGCGGCACGGGACGACACTGGCAAGTTCCTATTTTTCCCAACTTGGCAAGAGTTAAGTGAAAAATAGGAACTGTTAATAGAATTCTCTTTGGCCCCATTGCCATCTCATGGTATTTCGGACATCTACTGGCCGGGCCCCTGGCAGGTTCTGCTGGTTTAGTGGTGAGGAGCTGCGCTGCCGGCCCGAAAGGCAGAGGGTCTGAATCCACCAGCTGCTCTGCAGGGGAAAGATGGGTGATTGCCTCCTTTCCAATCCACAGCCTCTGAAAACCCAATGGAGGGTGCGCTCTGAGCCAGTTCTGACAGTGATTCTCTGTTTTGTTGTTTTGTTTTTGGTTTTTTTTAGAACATCCCGACAAGGAAGAGAAGGCGATCCCCCTTGATGTCAGGGTTCAAGGTCATACAGGGTCACGTGCTTGAGCTGCTGTCACAGAGCGATTCTCCAAAACCAGTGTGACTAGAAGGTTCTCAGCGTCCCTGGATGACACGTGGAGGAAGGTGCGCGGTTGCTGCATATGTTCTCAACAACAAAAGGAAGTGTTCCAGGCTGTGAAATCTGTGAGGACTACTTCTAAGTGAAGCTCTGCTGAATCTCGAACCACACGTGGTCACCCTGAAACCAGCACAGGGCGGCGGCCTGACGGAGAACATCCAGGCTGCCTTCAGTCCAGGGGAAGGGAGGGATCGATCTGCTGCCCTGCGTGTCCCGATGCTGCAAGCTGACTAATGCCATTGAGTTGACTGATTGACTTTTAGTGACAGAGAAACACTGCCTTCAGGGTCGCCAAGGCTGGGGACCCTCATGGAATCACACTGCCACACTGTTATTCCACAGAGCCACTAACTGGTGGCTTCCAACTGCCAACTTCTTGGCTGACAGCAGAGTGCTTTAACCACTACACTACCAGAGTTCCTTGAACGAATGTGTGTGTGTGTGTGTGTGTGTGTGTGTCTGTATATATCCAAAGAGGGGGAAAGGCAGCAAGGGAATGATAGAAGTCATTTGTTTAATAAGGCATCTTCATTATAATCTAGATATAAGGAAACAAGTGGAAGGCAGGCTGGCCTGTTTGACCACACAGTTCAACCAGCAGGCACTGGGAGGCATGCACCTCTCTAGCTAGAAGACCCACTTGGTGAGACAGGCTCCTGGTTGGGGCTGAGGACCCACAGCTGGAGTACATGCTGGTAGTGACTCCCGCCAGGGCAGGCTGCGGCCTGTGCCCTAGCCCACGGCTGCCAATTCTAACTCACACTGATCCCCCAGGGCACTTAACTGCTGCGCCACCAGAGCCCTGTATCTGTCTGTGTTGTGTGATGTGGAGGTGGAACTGACCCTCCAGCAGGTTTTCAGAGGCAGAAAACTGCACAGGAGATTGCTCATCCTCCAGTGCATTCGAACTCCGTGCCTCTGGGCTGCAGCGCAGCTTCTCACCTCCATGATCCCTACAGCTCTCCTCTGCCCTGTGGGGTCACGGTCAGTCCTAAAGGGCAGCTCTAGCTTAGCAGCTCCGGGTGTTTACAGAAAACATTGCTGCCCTCTGGTGGGTGAGAGGAGCCAACACCGTGGTGGTGGGGGCCCCGGATCAAGCCGGACTCCTACAAGCCACCGATCTGAAGCCTGTCCTGTGCTGTCCGCGTCATCTCGGACAAGTGAGCCCATTCTTTCCTCTTGAGAGTCACTGGTGGATGGGAACTGACGTGCGAACTTTACATCACAAGGGAGCCTCCCGAACGTCGCAAAAGACAGACATCAGACCAAGAGGAATGCTGAGACTCGGAACCACAGATTCCTAGTGCCATTTCTAAGTGTAATCCTCTCTCCAGAGAGACAATCTCACGTGGACACAGGTTCCAGGGAGCTCTGGGGCGAGACGGGAAGTGCTGGGCTGCAGGATCCAGGCTGTGCCCACACTGTTCAGGATGCACAAACCCAGCGAACGTCTACAGCCAGAACAGAACAGCTCAAGGCAGAGTCGAGAGTCACGGACACCACCCTCTAGGTTAACGGAGGGGAAAGGAATCCAGCATGTGCAATTGCTTAGGTGTGTAAGACTACAAGCTCTCAGAACGGTCAAGTGCACCGTGACAGCCAGCACAGGAGTGCTGGCCTGGGGGATGAGCTGGGCGGGTCAATCCTAGAAAGGTGAGTGGAAGTGGATTTGCAAGCGGGTAAAAACCCCATTCGCAGTGGGTGCCGCCCGAGACTCCGGCCAGATCCTGACTTCACGGCTGCCATCCTCTCCTAGGCCTGTCCCTGGAAGAGTGCTCTGGGCCGGCTGAGTTAACAGGGACTCAGTTATGAATGCCATGATCATACCGGCACACTGTAAAGCTGCATTTATTTGAAAAAAGCCATTTCCTAGAAGAATCAAACCATGGCAGCAACCAGCCCAAAGAACCCCTCACCTCCCTGATCCCCCACAATCCAGGGGTTCCCACTTGGAGTGGACAACCAGGTTTGTACAATGCCTTCATGTGGCCAGATTACACGGTCTCCCCGGGGGAAGGGTTTCCACCACCCAACTCAGGCTTCCAGCTGCATCCAGATCCGAGTCTGGGAGAGGAGAGAACAGACACGTGCCAGGAGACCCAAGGTCAAGGTGTGGGGAGAAGGCTTCCCGCTGCTGCTCCTGACCATCATCTCTACAAAGGGATAATGTTGCAGCTGAAAGAGAAGAAAAGGCACAGCTGAGGGTCTGAGGCTCGGATCACAAGGTGAGTCCACCCACAGACTTCACAACTCTTAGAGCAGACACCCGGCCAACCAAAACGAAAATCAACCCACTATTACGAGTGTGACTGTCAGGGGCCCTGGGGGACAGAGCCCTACAGGGTTTCAAGGCTGTAATCTTTAGGAGAGCAGACCACATCATCTTTCCACTACATAGTAGTTGGTGGGTTTGAACCACCAACCTTTCAGTGAGCCATCGTGTTCTTTAACCTCTGCACTTCAGGGCTCCTTGTCTGGTTAATGGAAGATCATTTTAATCCGATCGGAGACTCAAAGGGGCAAAGGTCAGATTCTCTGCTGCACCACCGCCTTGCTCTCCTCCTGCAGGGCTTTCGGGGAGACCCCTTCCTCCCAGGGCTCTGTCCTCTCTGCCCCCCAGCTGCAGCTAACACAGGCAGGCGCTTTACCCCAGCAGTCCTTTGCCTGCCCAGCGCGTTGGGACAAGTCTAAGCTGGTGCCTCTCTCCTCTCCGGATCACTGTCACATTCAACGGCTTCTGGAAGGAAAGTGAGCTCACGTCAGGGCCGGCCTCCTGCTCAGGGGTCGGAGGGGCCCAGGCCTGCGTGCGAAGACCACCTTCATCAGCCCTCACACCGGAAGGCTTTTATCTGAAGTACAGCCTTGGTGTTGGTGAGGGTGGGGGACGTGCGGCTCTTGGCGTCCCGGTGAACCCACACTGTCTTCCTGGAGAAACACCTCCCTGCCCACCCCCCAAATAAAGCGGATCTTTAAAAAGAGCAGACAAGCTAGGAGTGTAAAATGCGGCATCTACAATGAAAAGCAGTTTGGTGCTTCCTTAGCGGGAAACGGCAACATTGTTTGATCCAGCTATCCCATTACTATTTACCGCAAAGAAGTTAAGAGCGGCTAGAAGGGCACACCCGTGCTCACTGCGGCAGTATTCACAACTGCAGAGACGGAAATCACCGTCACCAGACAACTGGATAAAGAAGCTGCACACAGCACACAATGCGACACAACGCTGAAAGCAACAACGGGTTCATGGAACATGATGCATCGCGGATGCACCCGAGGACGGGTGACATCAGTCACAGAAGGGCTGTCCCCGCGTTACACCACGAGAAGCAAAAGCTCCGGGACGGTTCACACCCGGGCTCTGTCCTGAACGGTCAGCAGGGACAGGAAGAAAAAAGATAAAAAGTAATAAACAGGTAAATTCAGAGACGGGAAGGGGAATGTGATAAAGGGGGGATCAGACATTGTAATTCATTGTAGAGCTGATGTTAACAAAACACGTGCACAAATGACTGCATGGAAACTCAATATGATGTGAAAGCTTACTCAAATAAAAATTTAAAATAAATACAGAAAATGGAATTTTGATAATTATTGCTGTATCTTAATACCCTACTGTTCAAAAAGGAAAAAAGGAGCATACAGCATAGATTTTCTTTTTATCATAGTAGAACAGATAACTGAGAAAGTATGTCATTAGCTGTCTGTCTGTATGTCATATACTTCTGTCCGTCCAGTTTAGGGACAGTAATTATTCCAGCTGTTATTTGGCTGTCACCAAAAGGTGTATTCTACAAAAGCACAAGTTACATAAGCAGTGATGATTCCTAGGTTCATTATACACTAAAAACGAAAGTATCCAAAATGCCCATTACTAGGATATAATTCAAATAAGCTGAATGAAGCATTTTTTTAAACAAAAGAGCAAAGTGTAAAGGTGTTTGAATATATTTTCTAACAGGACATATGCATTTTTTGCATATACCAAGTCTCCCAGAAGAATAAACCAAACAAAACAAAGGCAAGCTCTGGAGACAAGGCTTTCCTTCAGGGCCCGGCAATAAAAGGACTCTCAACTCTCGCCAAGAAGGAGGTCACATACTTTTTCCTAAAAACCCACATTATCCTCTCCTGCAGTCTGTTAGCAAAATGAGAAAGTGTGAGGACGTCAGGGAGCACGCACGGGCTGGTGTGGGAATGGACCCACACGCCTACTCAGCGCAGGCACGCACTGTCTGTACCATGCACACGACCTGTGAACGTGACCAGTCACGGACAGGCAACCTGGCCCAGAGAGAGATCACTGGACCGAGAGACACAAAGCAGAGCGTTCTGTGAAAGTGGCCAAAAGAGGAAGTCCTGGGTACAAAAGGAGGGAAATGTGGAACAAAACCCAGAATCGTCAAAAAGACCTGGTTTGGGGAGCTCTGGTCGCCTAGTGGCAAGAAGTTGCACTGCAATCCCACAGGTGCACGGTTCAAATCCACCAGATGCTCTGCTGGGGAAGGAGGGACAATCTCCTCCTGTACCAGTCAGATCTGATTTGACGGTACACACACACACACACACACACACACACACACACACACAAAATTAATTTAAAAAAAAAAGACCTGGTTTATTGTTCCAACGAGACTACTGGACCACTGGCACCCTGAGACCGGGGCCCCAGAGGCCCTTCAAGCCTGGAACTGAACCCACACTGGGGAGCACCTGTTAGCCAAACAGAGAAGCAGATGCTGCAGAGCCACCAAGCACGTGGGAGCCAGCGGGACCCTCAGAGGGGAGGATGGGACAGGAAAGACGGACAGACGAGCCGGTTAACACGGGAAGGGGGGGCACAGAGCTGTCACATACAGCGTGGGACACGTCACATATTGTGTGCCAATTCCTGCACCGAAAACCAGTGTGCTTATTTATAAACTTCACCTAAATCATACTAAAATATTTTTAAAAAGTCAGCTTTGTCTGTGGGAGAACAGGGCAGGATGCAGAATGGAAGTGGGAGAGGGACGTTGGGATGGGTGTCTGGGAGAGGCCTCAGGGGGAAGGGGTCATGGGGCGAAGACAGGTCAGTTAATGGGGGTGGAGCAGGTATTCCAAGCATAGAACAGCCTGTGTGAGGCCTGCAGGCCAGTCCTGGGACCAGCACGCAGGCCCTGCAGAGGCCTGGAAGCCCCTCATGGACAGGCCTGTACCTGGGACCAGCACGCAGGCCCTGCAGAGGCCTGGAAGCCCCTCATGGACAGGCCTGTACCTGGGACCCGCACAGGGGCCCGCAGAGGCCTGGAAGCCCCTCGCCGACAGGTCTGTACCTGGGATTCACACACTGGAGGGCCCGCCGAGGCCCCTTACTGACTCACCCCCTCACTGACTCACCCCCTCGCTGTGCTGCACCACGTCCCCCACGTTCTGCAGTGATTGGAAGTTCTGGGTGTTGACTGAGCCAAACTCCACAATCTCATCATCCACCTGCAGACCCTAAAAAGAGAGAGGGGGGAACTGGGCTAGTGGTGGCTGTGCAGCGGGGTGGGTGTGCCATCAAGGTCAAGAGCTTGTCTTCCTCCTTGGAGAAGGGCAGGCTCAAAGGAGGGGGTGGAGAAGCAACGTCCTCCCTGAGGGGCCCTGGCGGGGAGATCTGTTAGTTATCAGACAACAAGTGGAACGGAGCCACCTGAAAGCCAGGTGCAGCTCTCCGAGTCCCGTCCAAGTTCAAGGGCAGGAAAAGGCGGCAGCCAGGGCTGCAGGGGCGGTGGTGACTCAGCGGCAGCTCCCCACAGAACCTCTGAGACGCCCGATGCCCAGGCAGAGAAAGACTCAGGTAAGATTTCCCCTGAGAGACCCCCCAACAAGCCCCAGAGTCAGTGACTCTCATCTGAGAACAAGACAGATACGGGAATGTCTGGCCGGGCAGTGTGGCGTCCTCTGCACTCAGCGCTGCTAGGAGTTGGAAGTGACTGACCAGCACCCATCGATGACTCGGGTCCAGATGTGGGGAACACAGTGCTGAGTGACAAAATTGTGCTCAAGCCGAGTGGTCATCAGAGAGGACAGCTGCCCCCGAAGCGGGTCCAGGGCTGAGAGTGAGGAGTCTGGCACCAGCTGTTGCCCCAGGTGGAGAGGACCTGGCCCAGGGGCATTAGTGGACATGTCCTCCCAGACACCTGTCGGCCCGGTCATCACAGGGCAACGGCAGAAAGCACCCCAGTGTCCACCAGCTGATGAACAGAAACGGGCTCCCTCACACAGGGTCCGAGAGGAAGGCAGAACTGACCGGCGACACAGGGAGACTGAGGCCAAGAAGCCAGACACAGAGTCACACAGTCGGATTCCCCTTCCATGGAGACGGGAAGAGGGAGAGCTGGGGCGGCCGGGGGCTGGGTTCTCAGGAAGGGGGCAGGCTGTCTCCAGGAAAGCAACATGCTCTAAAATCAACTGATTCGAGACTCAGGTGCTCCTGATCTCCGTCTGTGTTCTGTGGCTGCACGTGCACGTGTAAGCTGGACCGTGAGTAAGGGAGAGGGAAGGAGGCCCTGGAGTTGCGGTGCTGGAGCGGAGAGCGGAGCCTCCCGGGGACTGCCGACGGAACACATAAATCTCTCGTGGAAGAAGTGCAGCCCGGACGCTCCTCAGAGGCAAGAAGGGTGGGCTTCATCCCACATCCGTGGAGCACGCTGTCAGCAGGGACCACCTTGGAATAACCATCGAGCTGGGAAAGGCAGAGGGTCGCCCAAAGAGAGGCCGAGCCTTCAGGAGGCGGCATGTCACAGTGGCCACGGCCATGGGCAGGACTGCCGGTTCCGTCCGGCTGCTCACGGTGTCGGCAAACAAATTCTGAGACCCAAGTGCCTGCAGGCCGGCGGGTCTGCCTCACGGAGACCCTCTGCTGAGCGTCCACAGCTCCGGGGCCGTAGGAGCGAGTCAACTCGATGGCGCACGGCAACAAAACCGACTGTTTGCGGTGCTCGCACGACTGCGTGTTAGACTGTGGCCTCCACACGGGAGAACAGCGTGCTGTGTAAGTCCACCTCTGAGCTGGCGGAGAAGAAAGACACCAGGCAGGCGAGGAAACCATCACCAGGACGCCGGACGCAGAGTCCGTGGTAGGAGACAGGGAGGGACTTCGGCCACGACCCAGTCAGTCAGCGCCCCACCCAAATGAGCCCCAGGGAGGGCTGCCTGCTGCCCCCACACCTCGACACGGGCCCGACCCCATCACAGAAGGCCGGCACCTCCACTGTGCATCACACCCGTGTGCTATTCAACTGAATGAACTCACAGTAGCTCCTTCCAGTGGAGACGGCTGGGTCTGTCTCCCCACACCAGACCCAGAGGCCCCGGATGCCGGTCTGGGTTGGGGCCCAGACTTGGGAGGATCCACCTCCCCTCCACTTCCAACATGCAGGCCTTGAGACCCACTGAGCCCCTGGACACAGGTCTGGGTCAGCCCGGACTTACAAGGATTCATCTCCCCTCTGCCCCAATAACCTGGTCTTGAGACGCCCCCCGAAGCCCCTGTCTGCAGGTCTGGCTTGGCCTGGACTTACCGCCGTGCTGGCTGGGGAACCGGGGCTGATGCTGTTCACTTTGGCGAAGGCCTGCGCGGGGTGGGGGCCCTGGTCCGGCCGGCAGCTGGCAGCCTCGCTCTGGGCCTCGGCCATGTCCCGAGCCTGCTTCTCCTTGTCCCGGGCATGCAGCTGGTGCAGGGCCTCCTCCACCTGCTTCATTATCGCCTTGTGGTCGTTCTGTAAGCCTGAGCGGGGACCAGACGGACAGCTGAGGACGCAAGGCCTCACGTTCACCCCTGGATGTTTCCCGCACTGCACCCAGGAGTCCCAGAGTCACCAACAAATAACCAAAAGGCCTGGTGATCGGCTCCAAACCTTCGCTCAGTCCCACACCTGAAAACCCTACTGGAGGGCAGCCCTGGCCACACATATGCGTCTCCAGAGTCAGAACGGAGAGCCTGCCTTCGTTTTCATCGGAGGCAGATGCAGAGACCCAAGACCGGACACTGAGGACAAAGCACTGAAGGAGATGTCGCCAGGACTGCGCTATTTCTAGAAAAGCTGGAGATGAGGGGCTACGTAGACAAGAGAGATGAAGCAGGGAACACAGAGAGGAAACGGGTCGATGCTATCATGTGGAGACTGCTGTCAATGTTAGGAAACGCAGTACGCGTGAACTGCTGAATAGGAAATCAATTTGCTTGGTAAACTTTCATCCACATCATGGTTTTTTTTTTTAAAAAAAAAGGAAAGAAAATGAGGGCTTTTGTGGGGAGGCCTTGTGATTTCTTTGCACACGGGCAGAAGTCGAGGCCCACCCCGCATATCACCGCATTAGCAATCTTAGGGAGAACTCACTTGTCTTTAACCTGAGAGCAGACCCCCCACTCCTCAGAAGCCCACATAATTTCACAGGCGACGGAGTCAACGTTCTGTGAGGGTGAGGGGGAGCCCTCAGCAGACCCCCCGGCCGGCCCATCCACGAGCCACAAGGACAGCCGCAGACCACAGAAGGGGTTCGACGGCAGCCAGGAGGCCACGTGTGCGGGGGGCCATTCCCACGAGCCTGCAGGCACTAGGGGGCTTGGGTGCCTGACCCCAAGCAGGAGAAGACACCCACGTGGCTATCGTGGAGGACAAAGGAGGCCACGGTGCAAACAGCTGGGTCGTGACCTGCTGGCCAAAAGGCTGGCCGTCAGAACCTACCCACCAGTCCGTGGGACGGCCAGTCCCTTAAAGAGGAGAGACCGTGAACTGGACAAGATCAAAAGGGCGTCCATCATGTGCCCAGGGAGACAGCTTGGGAGGCAGGAAGGGACAGGACAAGAAGGGCGGATGGGAACAGGAAACCCAGGGAGGAAGGGTGCAGGGTGCTGTCACAAAGGAGGGACAGCAACAGTCACAAAACAGAAGCCCAGGAGCTGTCGAACGGAAAACCAAATTGCTCCGTACATTTTCACTTGTTGATTGCCTTCAAGTCAGGCACGACTCAGAGCGACCCTGTGAACAAAAGGCCTGAAGCCTTTCTGTAACTATCGACATTTACCAAAGTTCACAGAATTTCCAGAGGCATGTTGTTTAGGAAGTGGATGCCACTCCTGCTTCCAGAATCACAATAAAAAGGCATTTTAAAATAGAAAAGCTTATGAGCAAGAAATCCCTGAGGCAGTTCCCGCTGTCCCACAGAGTGGACAGTCTAGACACTGACTCAGCTGCACCCACTAACATTGTGGAGCAAATTTCCTGCGGGCAGAGGAGTCTGAGGGGAAGCTGACACTTTCTGGGGGGAGAATACTCCCCAGGAGAGAATTTTAAATGGGGGTGCTGGCTGGTACCGAACCTTTGGTCCTTCCTACCCCGTCCTTCCCCTTTTTCCTGCAGAGAGCACAGACGTGGAAACGGCCAAGATGAAAGTCAGACAAAAGCAGAGAGATCCAAGCGCATGGATAACATGTCAGGATGTTAGCCAAAAGGCCAGCCGTTCAAATCCAGCAGCAGCCACTCCAAGGCTGAAAGAAGGACCACCTCGTCCAGCAAGAAT